TCGTACTAATGTCGACTCAAGTTATTTTTGTTACAGCCCTCACTTGTATCAGCGGAAGAAGTCATCACGGGCATCCTCTAAGCCGATTGAGCCTTAATTTGGTCCCGTGGGTAAATATCAGCACTGCGGAGACAAAGGCGGTCGAACGTGGTTCTGACCACCCCAACAACGCGCGCTCCAATCCCGACCTTAATAGGTGCTCGCTAACACCACTGCCCCCAACAGTTGTGCGTGGTTACGCGAGGGATCCGTGCAGCTCGTCAATGCCCCGTGTGGACACTCTCCACGCGCATTCAAAGGCAGCGCGCAGGTGACGAGATCCCTGCCGGCGACAGAACCAGCATTGATTCCGCGCACGTTGACATCAAGAAACGCGTAATCATCACCGCCAGCCATGGCCCATCCACTGCTAGATGAAGGACTCAACCGCGCCGCCGTAGCCGCCGTCCCTCACGCTCCCGAGACGCCAGAATCCATTTCACTCGTGCACGTTCACCGATCGACCGGTCGCTCCATCTCCGCGATGATCGTCCTCTCGGGTCTCTTTGGCTACCATGTCTACCAAGTCTACCAAGTCTACCATGTCTACCATGTCCACCATGTCCACCATGTCTACCATGGCTATCATGTCGTTCACCAGCAGTATCGACCACCGGGGCGATCGTCGCCTGCAGAACGCGGGGCGCGTGCTCTTGGCCGCTTTAGTTTTCTCCGCTGACTTGACTGACTGACGTCTCTGATCTGCGTTTGTCCGACGACACAAACGTATGCGCGGAGCATATGCGGAAACGTCGTGATTTGTTTTAGTTTTGTAGTATTTGTGATTTATTTGGATTTTGTTTTGTTTCTACGTGCGTGACTTTACCGAAAGAACCAATGAGTATGTCTTATGCTTGTTATTGTTTGACTTGCATCCCACTGGGATTTTTGCACACCGCGTTGAAATTCGGCGCTTTTTCCGGAAGACTTTGCTGTTTTTTTCCTGGATTTTCCTGTTGCGCGTAGTCACTTTCAGATGTTTCTTGTTCATGTTTTTGTTTGTTGCGGTTGCACCCGAGTTAGGAGCCGCATAGTTCACAGGGTTATTCCGAATAAATGAAACTGAAATATGCAATTGGACGACGTCCGTCGATGCAGCAACTCGGCAATAAATCACCGCTTGGTCTCGCATATTTGTCGAGGAGTGATTTACACATTCTCGGCGGCGTTTATACAAACAGGCTACAACTTGCTGAAGAGGCCGGCTAACGTTGAAACCGGGGTTTGAGCTGCTTAGACGAAGCCCGGAGCATCTTGGCTGCACTGGGAATCCCGATGAGGAGGGCTCGTAAGGCCGAGAAAGTCAACGACGCGACTGTGTCATCAGCGTCTCGGGCGGGGTGGGTTGGCGGATCACGCAAGGATCAGCGCGCCCTTCCACAATAAAAATGCATCTCTCGTCTATCGGTCTGTTGACTTCCAGACTCACATGACGCACGCATTACGTGGGCCACTGACCAATCAATGTGCGCGGATTTCGTCGCAATTGTTCTCTTCCCCCTCGTGTCCCCGGGTCGCACTCGTTTTTGTCCCACGCGAAAACAAAAAAATACTCGATTATAAATGTTCAGCCGTCTCCGACGCTCACCTGGGTAAGTGAAACAGTATCATTAATACGTTTAATTACACAGGGGCACACACACACTCATAGAGGGATAGGTAATGCATTATAAATAGACAAGGATACGTTTCACCACGCAGAAAAAAAACGAATTACACATCGGCCTATAGGCCTTTTTGAGCCAATATTTCCCAGCATTAATTTACGCACGGAAACTCGCAAGGCCGGGTTCCACTTCCCTGAGTTCCATCAGCAGGGCTGCGTCCTCTCGTCAGAGCTAACCGAACGCTGCTGCTGCTGCGTGTCGGTTTTGCGTGGCCGTCATCGGCGGTACATTCAATGCAGCGCATCGACGCGGCGCGGGCATAGAAAGTGCGTCGCTTCTGATGTAATCGAAGCGCGCGTCTCTAAACCCTCCTCCTCCTCACCCTCACCCCAGCGCCACAGCAGCTTAAGGCAGACCACATGAAAGGCGCGCGGGTCTCTGGCGGAGTGCTGCGTGCGAACCCCCCCCCCCCCCCCCCCCGGGTCCATCTGGGTTCGATTCCCCTCGCTACGGCTAGTAGCATTCGTGCACACATTGTAACCAGACCTGTCATGTCTGGGACTTCCCTAGGTCGACTCCGCCTTAAATGGGTATACCTGTCGTGATGCGCAAACATCAGCACTGTGAGGGAGACAAAAGCGGCCAGGTGTGGGGGTGGCAACATCGCCTCGCCCCTCCCCCCCACCTCTCGTTGTCGCTACTTCGGCATTAATAGGTGCTCGCTCACAACACTTTGCCCCAATGTATTTACGTCTGTACGGGCGATTATTGCATTTATTCATTTGTTGTGTACAAACTTTAAATGAACTACAGGAATGAACCAATTGTTGGCCAACGTGATCTCACCGGAAACAGCACGGCCGCGTTTGTCACAGCAAAGTTAAATCGTTCGACTGTGCCATAAACTTTACGAACGATATTATTTTCAGAATTGCACGTGAGTTAACCAACTTGAAATATTCCCACAAAGCTGCCCTTGTGCGGCCGGGCTAATTCGTATCATCATTTGACCGCATCTCAACGGATGAATATTTCTGGGGGGTTTTTTTTGTCGTGAACGATTTGGATGGCACCCTGTTGCCAATTTCTCATGAACTGTGTCCTCTAGGCCCACGATCGCGTCTGACTATTTGCCTACAACACGGGGAAACCGCGGTATATGCATAACGGGAAACATCACCGCTGACGAGACTCAGAAAAAGTTAAACCAATCCAGGATTTGCCTTTAAAAAAAATCGAATTTAGTCCAGAAGCCTCACATAATCTATGGACTTCAATTATCTGTTGTTGTTGTTATTTCAGTATCAGTATGGACTTCCAGAGGCACGTAACTCCTGCACACGAGCTGACCGTTCCATCGCTCCGTGTGCTCGATGGACGAACACTTCTGTGGCATCTTTCCTTATTTTTTTCAAAACGAATATTAAACCGCCCCCCCCCCACCTCGTATCTACCCTGTCGATAGTAATAGACATTCATTCTTCATTTAAACAGACGCCTCCCGTGTTGGCGACGACAACCCCGAGTCTGTAACCCAGTGTCGTTGGATGCAAGCGTTCGTGGATCTCTGCGCAACGTGGGTGAGACCGCGAGGGGTGCAGGAGGTAGTGGCCACGGCAGGTGGATGCATCGTGGGGGTTGCTCTCCGGGCTCTCCGATTGCTTCACTCGCACGGCAGCAAAGCGCTCATTAAAATGGTGAATCGTATAAACAGACCTCTCTCTATTCGTCTCTGATATTTAAAAAGAAAACAAAAAAGCACCTGGACAAAGCTGGTGTGCAAAGCCAATATTATCCAACTACATTTGATGAAATTGCAAACTCTGGATCAGATGACTCATTAAACGAGAATTGGCCAAACGTCTCAATGCCCTGCTGAGAGGTGTTTTGAGGCACATTAGGGCTAAATGACAGCCTCTTGTTTTGGTTGTTCACCCTCGGATGCCTACACTTCCCAGTGCTCTGTTTAGGAAGCCCCATACCACCACTAATGCCTATTTTCTCACGGAATCTGACTCAATGACCCCGTAATGCAAACATACAGGGTGGCCCAAAATTCAGGACACATTAGGGTTATTATATTTATTTTAGGAAATCACAAAGGGTTATTTCATTTATTGTAACACATTGAAACTGGCATCCATTAACATAATACGTGCGTGAATTATCTTCTGAAATGAATGTAGCACTTTTTAAGTTTCCAGGTGTAATCTTTGAACATTCATTATGTTGTGTGGTCTCAATTATTTCAGGGTCCTCGGTCGAGTTTTATAAACAACGGATTTGAGGTGACCCCGCAGGGAGAAGAAAGTAGATAATCATCGTAATAATAATGATGAATCGATTGTTAGCTTGTAGATAATCATCGTAATAATAATGATGAATCGATTGTTAGCTTGTTGATAATTTGAGTAATAATAATGATGAATCGAATGTTAGCTGGTAGATAATCATAGTAATAATAACGATGAATCGATTGTTAGCTGCTAGATAATCATAGTAATAATAATGATGAATCGATTGTTAGCTTGTTGATAATCATCGTAATAATAATGATTAATCGAATGCTAGCTGGTAGATAATCAGAGTGATAATAATGATGAATCGATTGTTAGCTGCTAGATAATCAGAGTAATAATAATGATGAATCGATTGTTAGCTTGTTGATAATCATCGTAATAATAATGATGAATCGAATGCTAGCTGGTAGATAATCAGAGTGATAATAATGATTAATCGATTGTTAGCTGCTAGATAATCAGAGTAATAATAATGATGAATCGATTGTTAGCTGGTAGATAATCATAGTAACAATAATGATCAATCGAATGTTAGCTGAAATAATGAACTGATTGAATTGTATAAAAGCCAGTGTTAAAATAAATGAAGTAACCACGCGTGCTCTGACTTTTGGACCACCATACATAAAGTCACAGGTCTTGCATGAAGCCGTGCAACAGCGCGTAACACGGGTAACCCAATAACATCATCGTGCCAAGCCTCTGTCGTTCTCGCGTCCAAACGAACCCCTTCGTGCTGCACGCGCGGCCGTAGAAGCCGTGGCGGCGCGTGAGCGACTCGCGCACTGCCGCGCAATCGACCCGGCAACCTGAGCTAAGATTCCCGGCCACGGCTAACATCAGTGGCGAGTGGTATCTGAATCGGTTCTCAGCCCCCCCCCCCCCCGTGTCTCCTTCACCAACACGCGCTTACCAGCGTGATGAAGTATGGTGTTGGAGTGGTGGTGGGGTGGTTACCCCAATACTGACACGGCGTGTGGACGGAGACCTTAATCCAGCAGCAGATTGACACCGGGTCTACAATGAGTATCGATGAGTAGAGTGCAGGACTCACCACCAGAGCGGGTAGGCAGCGTGGCCTGGACGAACCATGGGCAGTGGCATCATCAGCAGCAGCAGCAGCAGTGGCGGCAGGAGCGCGCACACTTGACTGCGGCGGCAGCGAGCATCCATCTCTCTCCGCTCTCCCGGCACGGGAGGCCAGGTCACCTCGACTTCCGTGTCTCCAGCAAACTCGACTCTCTCCCAGCCGCGCGCTTCTCTCCCGCCCACCTTGCTCCGTCGCCACGGATCCCTCCTCGCTCGTTCCTCTCGCGCCACTCCTCGACCAGCGCGCCTTGTTGTTGTTGTTTTCTTCTTCTGCGTATTTGCTTTACGCTTCGTTTGACTCACGAGTTCGGCTCGCGGTTTGGAGAGACTCGAGGTCGAGGCAAGAAATCGAGAACTCAACAAACAGATTGTTCAAAGTTGAACCGAAAAGGGAATGATAGGACGAGACGAGGCGGTGGTGGGGGGGGGGGAGCGATCGTGCGTGCGGTCACACTCGCGGCGCGCTGTCACTGAGCCTACGCTAGCGGCGATAATTGCGTCAGGGCTGGGCTTAATGATGATGGGGAAGGCGCTCCTCGGTCTCCTCCCTGGCCTTTCTCGCTCCTCTCACGTCTCTCGCCTCCGCCACACGCCAATGCCTCCTTGGAGTCACGTCTGTAGCAGCAGCCAGCCAGCAGCAGCAGCCAGCCAGCAGCAGCAGCAGCAGTGATCGGGCCAGAAAAAAAGCGCAACAGCTAGAAATATCCCGCAGTGCTGGTTCCCATGACGACTCCAACAAAGTCATAATTAGTCATCTCCTTTTCGGAGTTTCCGCCATAACAAAGGGGGGGGGGGGGGGTGGGGAAAGATCGGGGCGAGGCGAGGCGGTGTGAACGGGGCCCGGCCAGAGAGGATCTCCCATATAAATCGCCGCGCCGTGTTTACGCACAACAAAGCGCAGCGCCGAGTCTTAGCACTCCTCACTCGCTCGCGAGCCTTTCTCACCTCCCCGGCGCCGTGGACCTCACACCCCCCCACATCCCTCCCACCTCCCCCCCACTCGTCCTCCCACCCTCTCTGCACTATGAGCACACCCCCCCCACCCTCCCCGTGTGCCTCCCCCCACCCCACTCTCTCTTGACTCCCTCCCCTCCTCAATCCGTCTTTCGCTGCCTTCCCTTCTCGCCTCCTTCTCAGCGGCGTCTCAAGTCGAGCACTCCAGCTGCGAAGGCTGCATGCATTAAAGCGCCGGGGCAGAATAGAGGAGGCGAGGGGAGGAGGGATGGGGGGGTGGTGGGGGAAGGGTGTCTGTAGGGCTGCCCACCTCGTGTCAAACGCTCCCAACACCGGACTGCTCCCCTCAACTAAGGCGCCGCCGCCGATGCCCGCGCCGGTGACGCTTGTGCCCGTGAGGCTGGAAGAGCCCTGGCTCATTTTTTTTTACGGCGTTGCGAAAAGAGCCCCCAAAAATAATGCGATGAGGTCAACGTCTCGCCCGTCTGTTTGTTATCCTCGAGTGCGAGCAGGTGATCACCGCCGTGCCGCGTCCGCGTCTATAAATAGAGCTGTGCGCAAGGGTGCGACCCGCGCGCTGAGCGTGCGGAGAGCGAACCCGGCGAACCGAGTTCGACTACTCGCTCGCGGGCAATGCCGGTGACGCGTATCTGAACGCGGTCCTCCCCTGGGTCGATTCGGCCTCAAGTGAGTAGCTCGTTAAATGAGTATCGCCAACGAGCGAACAAAAATGGCCGGGCGCGGTTCTTGCCACAGCAATCCATTGTGCGCAGTTCCGCACCTTCATCGTTGCTCGCTGACAGCACTCGCCACGATAGTCTGTGAAGTCCACGCGGCAGGTGTTTTTGTTCGTCTTCGTTGCACCACACCCTTGCACAAGGGCCATCGAACTGATTTTTGTGTTTAGTTTGTTGTCCGACTCCGCGCCATCCGATTAGCACGATTGGATAGGTGCGGTGCGAAAAAAGTTCAATATACATTGAGACTCGACGAGGCTCTCCGTTTTACAGAGCCGGGCGGTGGCGGCTATGATGCACGTGGCCTGTAGCCCGGCACTGTGGAGGCAGCAGCGAGGTGTTGGTGGATCACCGCACAAATGTTGCTGAACTCCCTTCCTGTTGCTAACGACTCTGGCTTGCCACGGCAAGTCGGTGCCGCAGAGCTGTGGACGGATATCGCTTGACCCCGTTCTGTATATGGGATAGAGTGTTGCTCCCTCGCATGCGTGGGGTTTCTCCGGGCGCTCCGGTTCCCTCCCACACTTACCAACACTCATTGGGAACGCTGACTCACAGCCTGGCCGTTCGCCAGCTCGCCTCTGTGGTTGCTCGGTAGGATGTGAGATGCGATTTGGTATGAACAATGACGAGGCTATATGAAACGAGTCATGGTTATTATTATGATCATCATAATTACATGGCAATATACTTCTTGTGAGAAAATAATGTGACGTTTGCAACAAACAATCACCTGTTGCGTGTGTTTGTTACTCCATATTCTTGTTTTTTTCGGTAAAGTCACGTACATGGAAAATAAAACAAAAAATAAAATAAAAATTTTGAAAATAATAAAAGCAAAAAATCCATGATTTTAACTTTATTTCATTTTATTATTGGTATTTTTTTAATTTTCTATCCACGTGACTTTACCGAAAGAACCAAGAATTATGAATTCCTGCAGTCACGAAAGTTTTAAGTAAAAATGTTTTACTCCACTGGCCGCGGAAGGTGCTGTCACAGAACTGCTTCTGATGAGCACCTTCAATTGGCCCATTATTTACACTGTGGGGCGCACCTTTATTTCACGTCCTGCTGCATATAAATACATGTGCATCGTACGGCAGCAATCCGCACGATGGCTGCTTAATTATAATGATCAGAGTTGGAATTTTCGCCAAATCTATGGAGACAACCACATTTATTTCTAGGCCCTTATTGTTGCGTAATAACTGTGAACTCATGCCTACTTGAGAACCCGGTTTTATTGATGGGCGGCTGCAACCCCGGAATCGAAGGTGCCAGCTCAGCGCTGTGACTCATTGAGATGCCCTACCCCGACTCAGCGTGATCACCCTTAATGACTTGAACGAGGGGCCGCGATATTGAGGCACCCCCTATACAATCCGTGCAAACAACACCTCAACAAACACGGACAGCTGCGCACCGCCACTGTTCCCGCGCCATCAGCGGACGCTTGCTTACGACGTATGGGTAACTATGACAGCCGTCACGGGAGTGGAGCGGTGGTTGCAGTGGAGGGTTGTTTTTTTTCGCGTTGCGATATGAACCCAGCAACATCAGTTCCATTTCCTCACCACGGCGAACATCAATGTCGAGTGATATCTCAATTGGTCCAGGACCCCATCACTCCACCTTCCCCCCACCACTTCACCAATCCGCACTGACGGACTTGGTGATGTGTGGTCAACCAACCCCCGATGACCGACACGGCATGGGCAACATCTAAATCGAGTAGTAGATTGAGCAAGGACCGGACATTGTTAATTTTGCAACATTCACAGCAAAGCGTGTCGCGATATTGAAAGCGACTGGTCGGCAGTTGCATTAAGATGATGATTTGGTGTTGGGGCTGTCATGACGGCTTATCGGTAGCTGGAATCTGTGCCTTGCTCACATATCACGCATTGAGAGGGAGAGTTATTGCAATTACATGTTGATTTCAAAAGCGTATACGTGCAACGACATTTCAACATGCAGCAAAACGCACGTGCTTTGTGGTACAGATGCGTGGTGATATCGGTGAATACGATGGTGATGGTATTAGTGGTTAGGGTGGTGGTCGTAATTATGAATAAGGTGGCAGTGCTCATCCCGATCCGCCTTCCATAATTGGTCTCTGTAGTTGAGCGAACTTGTTGCACGTGATGTGTATGTTGACTCATAATCAACGTTTTTGGGTTTAGATCGCGTTATTTATAAATGTGTCGTAACCCTCCACCACCCGACACGGCCAATCAGTAAAAAAAGTGTCACGTTGACAAAGACAAATAGTTCACTGCTTTAGCCCACCGGTGTGTTGAAGCCACAACATTTACAATTTGAGTACATGTAAATGTTGTGGCTTCAACACACCGGTGGGCTAAAGCAGTGAACTATTTGTCTTTGTCAACGTGACACATTTTTTACTGATTGGCCGTGTCGGGTGGTGGAGGGTTACGACACATTTATAAATAACGCGATCTAAACCCAAAAACGTTGATTATGAATAACATTGGTCGCGAAAGCCTGCTACGTGTTAAACTGTTGACTCATAGTTTGTATTGCGCCCAACTTTGCAGCCTGCTTCGTAACAAATGTTCCCCAAAACATATCCTGGAGTTGATTTCCATCGATTGTTACAATGATAATGTCGCCAGCACATTTGGGGTGGTTAATACTCTGCAACATTGATGTTGATGTCTCTTATTTCTCCAATGCAATGTTTAGAGGCACGTAACTTTTGCTCGATGCGCGTGTCGAGCCTTGGTGGCTCCGCGCCTGACTTGTCTTCGGATGTTTTGAAACTTCCTGTAATCTCAATGTAGTCACGCAAAAAAATAAAAAAAGTATTCTTTATTGAAAAAATGAAAAAGGATTTATTGATTTTTTTAAAATTTAATTCATTTTTATTTTATTTTCTATCTTCGTGACTTTACCGAAAGAACCAATGACATGAATTCCTGCAGTCGCGAAAGTTTTAAGTCAACATTTAATCTCAGTGCAGCTCGGCCAAGAGGACGATCACCGCGGAGATGGGGCGATGACATCAGCTCATGCGCATCACGTAGATGAGTTGGGGCATTAACAGTTCCTAAACAATGTCGTCGGTGCAGCAGTGGATAAATCATAGGTCTTGACGATGGTGATATGAATGGCGATGAAGCTGGTGGTGGTGGTGATGATGATGATAATGGCGTTCGTAGTGTTGGTGATCATAACGATGTTGGTTATGACATTGGTGATGGCTTTGGTTATGAAAATAATGCGGATTGTGACACGGGTAATGATAATGATATGGTGGTGTATGAGATGACGATGATGATAATGGCTGTGGTAATGATGATAAAGGTGATGATGATAATTACAATGGAGCATTTAATAATGATGATTAAGATTTAGGTGCTGATGATAATTACAGTGGCGCATGTGGAAGTCATGATGGTGAAAATGATGATAAGTGATGATGATAGTTATGGTGGGTCGTGCGATGATGATGATGATGGCGGTGGCGGTGATGGTATGGGAGCGGTGGTGCAACGATTAGCGCGTTGTGCTACGATCTCGGCGCCTCGACTTCTATTCTTGCTCGCGGCCAACACCAGTGACGATGATCTAAATCGGTTCTGGGCATCCGCTAGGTCGACTCAGCCTCAAATTAGTAACCTGGTGCGATGTGTAAACATCGCCACTGGGGAGACAAAGACGGTCGGGCGTCGGGCTTGCCACCCACTCCGTCGTGTGCCGTCCAGCCCTTCATAGGTGCTCGCTGACAGCACTTGCCCCAAACAGTCTGTGCAGGCTACACGGGGGATCTTTATCTTTGGTGGTGGTGCCTGTAGCGTGGCTGCATTGCCACCTTGTGGACAGTCGCGGCACGAGTAGCCACGTCCCGCCCGAGACGCACGTGGGGGCCGTCCATAAATGACGTCACGCACCTAGGGGGGGGGGGGGGGGTCAGACATTTGAGGGGGGGGGGGGGTGAGAAATGTGACGTCACATAAAAATGCGCAACTTTAAATAAATATAGACAACACGTTCTACTTAATTAAATAGAGTTTTTAATAAATGTTTTCTCCTACAACATCAGAGTGCAGCGCCACATTAAATACGCACTACAATGACAATAGTTTAAAGCGATTTGAAAAATGTTTTATTTTGGGGGGGGAAGGGGGGCAGAGCTTTGTGACGTCATATTTGAGGGGGGTGTCTGACTTTTTGTGACGCCGTGTGACGAAGGGGGGGGGGGGGGTCAAAAATCGTCCAAAATCGCGTG